CCTTCACTCCTCGGCTACTCGCAGAGCTCCTGCAACATCACCCTGGCCCTGCTGCACGCAGCAGCTCAAGACATCCTCGGATGCGTGCTGCCAAACGCAGCTCGTAACAGGCTCCTCCGTCACCTCACAGAGCCAGGTGATGGTTTGGTACTGCTGTGCACCGTGCTGCTGTCCCCAGGTGGCCCAGGAATATCTCAGCTCTGCGCCACCAAAAGCACCAGGGAAGGGTTGAGATCTCTCTTATCATCCAGCCACCCCACAGCTTCACCGCTACAAAATAAACTCACTGGGATATATATAAAGTCAGCGCTCCCAGAGCAAGCTCATGCCCCCTCAAAGCAGCCCTGTCCAGGAGGTGACAGTGGAAATGGGCTACACATGGCTCCAGCCACCCTGCAATCCTCTGCCACTGCTCACAGCCCCCCTTGCCCCACAGCAGCATTTCGCTCCAGCAAGCGGGGACAAAGTCCCACAGCGAACGGCTGCAGCGGGAGCCAAGGCAGCAGAGAACACTCCTGGAAATGCTCACCGCGTAAGTGAAAAAGGAGCAATTTCGGCTTCCCCAGAAATCACAGTAAGGGGGGGATAAGTTGGCTCGGAGCTCAACCAGAGAAGGGCTGAGGTTGCCAAAGTCTTTGTCCCATCTCTGCATTCACCACACTAGGGGGAATCAGCACTCCACATTGCTCCCTCGAGCAGCCACCGCGCCAGAGCTCTGAGCTGACCCAAAACTCTGCCACCCTCATGTATAGTTGCAGAGGAACAGACAAAGAATACTTTATTGACAAACCTCGAGCCGCATCTGCATAACATCCCCCCCATGGGACCCCTTCGTCACTCAGAGAGAAGAGCAGGCACCAGCCTGCCCTAACCCCAAGACCTGCCTCTGCTGCTGGTCTTTTACTTCACCAGAGCTCAGGCTCAAAGCTTCCACAGCTGCTTGAGACAAATCTCAAAGCTGTATCCCTACCGAGGGGCTGGATGGACCGAATGCTTGAGATGCAGGACCATATCGACAGGTCCTGTGGTCATGCTGAACAGCAGGATGTTCTCCCGCCCGCCATGGGTCTTCAATGTCCAGGCACAGGTTGGAAGCTTATCCTTAAGGGAACAACTCTTAATCAAGAACCCTAAAAGATGCATCACACAGAGATTATGACACACAGAAAATCTTTTAACCCAGAGATGCTTTAAAAAAAATCAGTTTATTTTACCTTACAAATGATAAATAATTTGGTTTTTTAAAAAAAAGTAATTTCAAGTGTGTTTTACTTCATGTTGCAATATTAAAATACCTTTCCTTTCTCCCACCCCTTAAGTGATCAATACAAAAATAATTGTGACCAATTTTTTTTTTGTCAAAAAATTCCTGTACTTTAGGCAAAAAGGCACATTGTGAAGACTTTTTACCAGGGCTCACAATGACCCCAAGAGCCTGTCTCCCCTCCCTGCTTGTTTTAACTTGAGTGGAAGAGGACACAGGAACCAGGCAGCACTCCTGCAGTGCCTTTTGTCTGACACCCTCCAGGCAATATACCAGGGCCAAGGTCAGCTTCAGTGTCGCCCCTGTTTTACATACTGGTTGAACCAAGGCACAGCAAAGCAGTAGTTATCTAAGAGCTTCTTGTGAATAGCTGGCAGCATAGGACATAAAACTGGACGTAGGCGTAGAATGCTGTCTCCTTCAAAACAACAGTGCGAACCCACCTGGAATCATTCTCTCCCCTCTTGGAACCAGAACGTACGATGGTAGTCACGAGTCTCTAGATGTTCCTTTCTTAATGTGAGAGTCACAGGACCAACACAAAAAGTTGGGCCTTCACTAGTCTAAACAGGGATTAATTAGAGCCCTAATTACCAGCCCTTTAGGGGCAAAAGTCATTGCTGTGATACATCCCTTCATTTTATCTTCTAGCCACAGGAAGGATACACAGCCAGTTGGACGCTAGAAAAACCTACAGACAGCCTCTTGCTCTAGGTAGGCTTTGTACCTTCCTTTTCCAGGATATGTGGTCCCAAAATCACCTGCTTTCCCCTTGGGAAATGCTGTTGTGTCACCAGGAGGTGACAAAGTCAGTGAAGGGGCTTCTTCGGTGGCAGAGATGTTTGGCAACCCAGGCCATCAAGACCATTTCTCTCCCTGCCCTGACCACTCCTCAGGATGCTTGAGGCCAATAACTGATCAGAGCTGCCCCCTTTCACATCTGCCAAGTCCAGAGCAGGGCAAAACACTCCCTTCATGGTGCTTCACCCCAGAAACCTGCATCTCCTACTTCTTCCAGGAAGCTGGATCTCCCAGCAGCTGGCAGGAGAGCAACAACATGCAGAGAGCTCAGCCCACGTATCACAGTATGAGGCAGCGTCAGGTGAGGAGGGAGTCACAGGGGGCCAGAAGGAAAGGCACACACACAGAGCTCTCCTGGTACAAGGCACCGCTGTGAAATGTATTCCTTCTTTGGAGCAGTCAGCTCCAGGAGGCCCTTAGCATCACCGATGGTGGAAGGAGGCAGATGAGCTGCCCCTTGAAAAGGTCTGGCCTGGCTCTGCTAGGTCTCCTCGTCCCAGAGGCACAGCTGCTTCTGGGGCACGTAGTAATCAAAGGTGTAGCCCTTCTGGCAGCTGCGGATGCCACATTTGTAAGAGGAAACCTTGCCCCCAGCGTCGCGACTCTTGCAGTACTTCAGCATGCACGGGTACCACTCAATGCTCAGAGAGTAGCTGCAAATGCAGGGTTTCCAGCGGTCTGCACACAGCTTGCAACGCTGCAGGTCAGGGAGATCAGACGTCTGCGGCAGGACCTCAAACATGGAGCCATCCACCCCTGCAGGAAAAAGCACAGAGACGTTGATCAGGGCTCTGCCGAAAGGCAAGGACAAAGGAGAGAGCCACCAAAGCAAGCACAGCCTCCAGGAGAGACGAGGAGAATGAGGTTAGACAGAGGGCATTTCCAGGTGCTGTTTGGAGGAAAAAAAGGGCCCTGGGGAAAGTCAGGTAAAAGATACACAAAGTGTGTAAAGAATATATTTCTTTTGGATGATGGGCCAGGTGAAAGGTTACCTTGAAAATACCTGCCTCATGAGGTTTGCTAGGAGAGCACCGCCAAAAGAAGTCAGATTTGCTAACACATAGACTAGCGCAACATGACGTGCAAGCAAGCGATACGCACGCCTTATACAGTGTAAAGACAGCGAAAGAGAAGCCAAAATGATCTGTGCTGATCACCAGAAACCTGGCAGGAGGAATCACAGCAGAGTGCCAACTTGCTGACAAAAGCAGTTCCAACGAAACTGAAGGAAACTTACCTTTCTCCAGCCAAAATTTGACATCTTCTTCTCGGGTGTAGATTGCTTCTTTGGCCTCTGCACAGACATTGTGGATGTGAGAGCTCAGCTGGGCCCCCTTGCTAAAATTGACAGCTACATCCATGCTGAGATGCTCCAGGCCCCGCACCTCTTCAGCCTGCCGCACTGTCCTGGGATTTTTCTGCAGCGGATGAAATAATGAAAACTTGAATCCCAGTCGCAACAAATTATTCCTTACAGCACATCATGATTTCACGCCAATACAACAATACATGCAAATGGATGTTTTCTCCAAGTGCACCTGCACCCTATCTGGATGGAAGGCACTTAAAAACCTTCCTGTTGATGCTGAAACTGAGGAGAGTTTATCACTGCTCTGAGCTACCTGTGACTGTTTCTCAGTGCTTTGTCTTGATGCATGGTCACAAATGAGCACTTAGTACACTAGGCAATGTGGGGCAGGAATTTTTATAGCAATTCCTCTAGCCACCCTTTGATAGAGACTAGGCTGAACTAAATCCCGCCTCCTTCCAGTGTATTAGTAGAACAGGGTCAATACTATTGATGAACTCGGTCTAATACTGAGGGGTGGTCAAAAATGGGTCTAAAACAACCAGGCAGCTGCCTGAGAAGGGTATCCAGCCAGGAGAGCTCTAAGAAGCCCTGGATGGACGGGAGGATGGAGCCGGCGCTGAAGGCAGCTGCACGGTGCCTCTTACCTGCCGCAGCTTTGCCATAGACTCGCTGGGGATGATCTCGTTGCGATGAAGTCGTGTGACGAAGCAGAGTGCTTGGAACTGGCTCTGGCCCCTCTCCAGCTCCCCTAGGATTAAGGCACGGAAGATCTTCACCTCCTGACAAAGAGAAAAATACACAGAATGAGAGTCAGAAATGTTTGGCATCAGTAAGGTGAACCAAGAAGTCAGGGTCACAGGCTCCAGCCAAAAGAACAAAGTCAAAAGTCTCATACTTTTGTTAACTGAGCACAGGGACGTGGCCCCGGGTTCAATCCCACCCAAAAGCCTGCAGCATAACAACTCGTGTCTGTAAAGAAGTAGGTTTTCGCAATCCCACTGCGGCAAGGACAAATTGCTGCCAGGTCACATCCCACATCTATGGCTTCCTCAAACAATTGCTGGGGTTTTTTTGTCAGCTACCAAGAAGGGAAGCAAGCCTCCAAGGAGCCTTATTGGTTTCTTTAAACAAAATATCACATAGCCATTATTGCCATACATTCCTCGGGGTAAGCAGGCCCAAATTTCCTCTCCTACCCTCTCTCACTTGCTTCTGAACAACTGGTATCCTGGAGAACAAATTATTCATCTCTCAAAACCTTGTTTGGCTTTCCCTAGCTTTCCAGCTCTTTCCGCCCTAGCTATGCAACCTCAGGTGGAGCAAGAACTGGAGCTTGTCACATGAAAAATATGTCATGCTTCTCGCACGGAAAGAGCCACTGAAGTTTTTCCTACTGAGAAAGCCTTTCCCTCCCCGGCCACCTCACCGCTTTCCCAGCAGCAGCAGCAGGGTGAAGCAGTGCCAGGGTGGGTACCCGGCCAAGGCAACAAACGGCACCTTTAATTCTGGGTTCCTGCAAAATTTCCCAGCAGGGAACAAGTCTCAGCAGAACGCTGCCTTTGCAACGCGGGGACTCTCCGGATGAACTCAGCACGGGGGCGTTGAGAATCCTTGGCTCTGACCCGCACTCGTGTGGCGGCTACAGCTGCGGCCATTGTTTAGGTTTGGACGACAAACGCTTGGTGTAACGGAGAACAACCGGTTCTGCAGCCGTGTTCTAACCATGGCACTGGAGGTAACTGCAGCCTTGGCTTTCACAGCAAGGGGAGAGCAGCTCCTCTTTCATACAGGCAGAAAGGAAATTAGTGCACCGAGTTCCAAACAGCCCAGGTTGCCTGTATTTACCAGTGAGACTTCCAGCAAAGATTAGCCTGAGAAGAAGAGCAGGGAAATCATCGAGCTCCTTCCCTCCTCACGCTGTCCTCAGTCAGCCTCACCAGGGACTGTCATCTGGGGTACAACAACAATTCAACCTCCATTTCTAGGGTTTATCCAGCAGAGACTTACAAGCTTGTGTGGTCTAGATCTGAGCCCAGCGTCTCGACTTCACGTCGAGTGGAGCAAACTAGTTCCCAGGGAAATAAATTATTTCAATGCCTTCCTCCCTGCAGCCCATTCAGCTTTCCTGCCAAAATTCTTTCCCCTAAGGACATCAGTGCTGCTGCGGGACTCACTTTTGTCTGTGCTGTCGCCTGACTGCTCCAAGCTGGGGGTACATGCGGAGGGCACACGCTGCCTGGGGCAACACTGGCACTCCTGGGCCCAACTCCTCACCTTGTCAGCAGCCTTTGCTGTGGTCAGGGCCCTGCCTGGACTGCCCTGGTGGAAGGGCTACAGCTGGCCAGAAAGTCCTTGTGCTTGTGCAAGGCAGGACTGTAAGGCAGGAGTTCAGCTCTCCCCAATCAGTTTGAGAGAGAGCATTTTTAGGTACGCTTAGGGTAACAAACACCACATTTTAACGAGCCCACCCCAATCCTCTTGCTCTCCCAGAGTGTGCTGAGTGACTCTCCTTTTATGTATTTGGTGACTCTACAGAGGAGAGACTGCTTCCCAAATTACGTGGATATCAGCTTTGGACAGGTGCTTTCACCAGGTCACTTGGCACCTAAACACGATGGAGTCCTGGTATAAGGAGATTCTCAAAATAGCACCTGAGAATATCAGGTAACATCAGCTTTATTAATGAGAAAACTGAAAGAACTGGCAGTGCAAGTGTTAAAATATCATTACCCATGCTTCCTTGTGTTTCCAATACAACTTTTCCATGGAAAGGAAAAAGAAACTTTTCATTATCTTTGTACTGACCTTGGGATAAAACCACCCACTTTGTTCTCAGGCCACTGTTTAACAACTGGCAAGATCACGCTATTCAAATTAGACACAACATTTAAGGTTGCTGTTCCCCCTCAATCTCTTTTACAACACATTTTATGTATTCTATGGAAAAATAAATAAATCTGTCTTTGGACCAACCCCCTGCAGTTTAAGCCAGACAAGTGGAAAAATCATTTGTGCAAAGCCCGAGCATCCTGGCCACAGCATGATCACACAATCTAGCTTGGGAAAGTCAGATCAACAACCCCAGCTGCTTCTACCAAGGCTAAGAGCCTCCAGATCTTCTCTCTAGAGAGGAGAAGTTGTGTAACTGTTAGAGAGATGAGCACCAGAGCAGAACAGGAAAATGCCTGCGTGCAGCCAGAACAGGTCAGAAGGGGAAGCTTGGCCAGGCAGCTGCCTGCTCACATCATTACTCACTGCACCACAAATTCATCATCTTAGTCCTTTATATGTTTCTGCCTTTTTTCAGCTATTTTCCAGGAAAGAATAGAAAGAGTCAGTATCCGACTATTCCAAAACTGAAGACTAGGAATGGACTTCTGCAAGTTTGATGCTTGCAAATCCTTCCAGGGACCACCTCCTGTGTATTTCCAGCAGAAGCTGAAGGGATGCAAGAAGCTAAGGATTTAACACACTAAAGCCAAGATACGTTCAAAAAATAGCTCAAATATAGTAAGGATAAGAGTAAAAGAAGAGATAACACATACACACTTAGGCTTGTAAATGAGATTTGAGGGCAAGCTCCCCTCAAGAGGAGTTGAAGTAAGTGAAAAAATACTGAAACTATCAACAGCTTAGGACCACAAGTCCTCAAGTCACATCCCAGGCTCCCAAAGGGCCTACCTAGAGGATCTGTGACAAGTCTGGATTACCCTCGACGAGGAATACACTGCAGTATGTAAGTCTGAAACCTCCAGGCTTAAGAACCCTCTCTCCCTTAACTTCCTGGGTATGCTATGTCTTCTTTCAATTCTTTTTTTTCTTTTCTTTTTTTTTTAATAGGAGTCATGGGACTGCTTTTCTGCAGGTGTGCTGGAGTGCACAGAGCCTGCCATCACTTTGAGAATCACCACGGTTTCTGCTATCATCTCAGAACTGACCTTGCACTCTCTAGATGGAAAAGGACCATCTGAAAGGCTTGCAAGGAGACCAAGACTAACAAACATAGCTGAGAGGGAAAGAAAATCCCTGGCAGAAGGCTCCAAGGTTCACAACGGGACGGAACACACCACCTTCCTATCTCATGGGTTTGAGCCTCCTCTTGCTGCAAATCAAAGTCCACCTAAGCAAACAGGCTGAATAGAGGGTTGGAACAAGATAACACTGCCGCGCCACCTGGACAGCCATGCCACCCACCTGGCAGCAAACTGCTCTTCCCTGGGTGACAGAAAGCTCCTCCCCTCCTGCCATGCTTGGCATCCTCCAAAGGATGCCATGCTGTCCCAGAAGCTACTGCTTCCCACCGAGAAGAATGTGACCCTAGGCTCCAGCTCAGGAAT